GACATGATGCTGGGAAGGAAGGTAGATGTTTTATGTGTCCAAGAGACCAAGTGGAAGGGCAGCAAGGCTTGCAGCATTGGAGCAGGGTTCAAACTGTTTTACCATGGTGTGGATAGACAGAGAAATGGAGTAGGGTGGTCCTAAAGGAGGAGTTGGAAAATAATGTAGTAGAGGTGAAAAGAGTGTCAGATAGGATGATGTGCCTGAAGGTAAAGTAGAAGGTCTGATGCTAAATGTCAGTGGTTGGCTGTGATGGGGAGGGGAGAGGGAACATTTAGAAGGATCTGGATGAAGTGATGGAGAGTATTCCCAGGGGAGAGTGGTGATCGGAGCAGACCTGAACAGACATGTTGGTGAAGGAAACAGAGGGAATGAGGAAGTGATGGGTAGGTTTGGTGTCAAAGAAACAAACCAATGGTGGTGGATTTTACCAAGACAAGGAAGAAGAAGAACAAGACGAAGAACAAGACAATTTTTTTTTTTGATTTTTAACAAAACTTTATTTACACAGATAATTAATACAAAAATGTTTAAAAAGGTGATCAGGACGAGCTTAAAATAAAATATTTACATGAGGAGCTTGTTGTATTGTAGTTCTCCCTGATCAGAAATGGTACATAAAACCTTAAATCTCCACAGTTTCACAAAGTTCTCCAGGTGTCCAGCGTCTCTGTGGAAGCAGAACTCCAACACCAGTCTGGCCTTGACGTCGCACTTCCACAGAGCCACGGCTTCAAGTTAGTTAATCACTTAGTGGCTTTGATGAGATGTTCTCCATTAATAAAAACAGACTTGGTGAAAACTGTGTCAAAAAGGCTGAAGATCCTCGTCATTAGATTAAACAGAGCTGCCAGAAGAAGACAAATAAAAACAAGAAGAAGACGACAAAGAACAACAAGAAGAACAAAAGAAGAAGACAAAGAACAACAAGCAGAACAAAAGAAGAACTGTTGGAGTCAACCTGATAGTCATTAATCAAATCAAGTAGCAGAATGAAGGAATAAACATATTTAATGTCTTGGGCTTCATCTTTAAACACAAACGAGAGTCTGGCAAGAAGCAAACCCAGAACAGAATCTAACTACCAACCGATGAGCTTCAAATCAAATACAACCAAGTTTCAACGCTTTAATAATATTTCAGATGATTTAGAACTCAAAAACTTTCTGCTGTTTGTCTTTAAACGTCTAAAAAGTGGTTGAAAACAGAAAAAGACCGCTCGTGTTCAAAATGCTGCCGGAGTGAACATTATGAAAATTAAACATCTTTAAAATGAATTAGTCCTAAATGAAAACAAAGTGATGGCTGCACCAGATGGGCACCAGTGACCCCCCCAGCCCCAAAAAGAAGATGGTGGATGGAAAAAAATCTGAGTGGAGCGAGGAGCTTCTGTCTGACGCTCTGTTCCGATTAATCACAACATTTTCTTTGTTGAGGAGAAATAATAATAATAATAATAATAATAATAATAATAATAATAATAATAA